TGGAGAGGTGAAAATTATCTTGAACTATGGCTCGGTTCTCGGAAGATCAGATTTCCACTTGCCTACTCTTGATGCAGTGGTGAAGTTAATGGACGATAAATGTCTGAAAGAATACAAAGAACTTGATCCTAATTTTTCCGTGATGAAGATCATGACAGACATTTGTCAGTGCTTCTGGGAGATGAGCAGTGAATCAACAAATAAATCATCTGACGAGTGAACGAAATATGTCCTATGAAAGCATGGAGAGGGAAGGAACGAGACAAGTTAACTTTGCATGACTTACATTGAGCTAACAACATTTTGTGTTGAGCTCAAATTGAGCTTAATAACATCTTCCTAGAATTCTCCTGTTTCTCTTTTCTGTGTTCTTTTATGTATCCATTTGGTATTAGAACTCCCTTTTTTCGACGTTAAGAAGTTCCCTTTTCAGAGAGGAGGAAAATGTGTAAATGTGTTGGTGAAAAACCTGTGTTCTTGAAAATGAAGACATATTTTCCTCCTTTACAAATGGTTCAACTATGTTTTTTTTCTTTCTTCTCTGCTTGGTCATTCACCCAATGTCCGTCCGTGTCTAGTACCTGCATTCGAGTCTGATTAAGATTATTTCCATTCTTGGGGCAGTTTAGTTTGTTGCTTTTATATTTTCTTTGCTTTATTTAAGCAGTTTGGTTAGAGATGAGACTTGTCTTTAGTTTTTCCGTTTAGTTCATGGAATAAGGTGGAATATTTTAGGCAGGGATGACAATGGGGCGGGGCGGATGCGGGACGGGTGGGTTTAAGGCTATGTGGGACAGGGCGGGGCGGGTTGAAGTGAGTTTTTTTTAAAACTAATGCGGGCAGGTTGTGGGTATATGTAATTTTATGTGGATTCAAATTTAATTTTAACTTTTTACATGTTATAAGAGTAATCAAACATTATTTATTAAGATAATTTTTTTAAAGCTACTAAAATATTCAAGATAGTAAATGAAAATGGTTCAATAAAAAATAATACAATTTTTCCATGTTTCCCAATTAACCTCTAAAAAATAAAAAATTTAAGTCACTATTTTATTAAATTAATACAACTTAATGAAAAAATAAATTTATTTTTAGTATCAAACGCAACTATAAAAAGAAAATATTAGAAAAAAATATGTGGGGCGGGTTCAAGCAGGGCGGGTCTATGCGGGGAAGTTGAAAATGAAAAAAAATTGTCATGTGGGGCGGGGTGGATTGAAAATTTTGAAGGTTAAACTCAACCCACCCCGTCCCGCACCCCATTGCCATCACTAATTTTAGGATTAATTTTGAAATTAAATTTTTACTTTATTAAGAATTTATATCTCAAATTTGATTTTATTTTATCATACCTAAAATGTGAGACGAATTAGTATTAGGATTATAATTATGTGATAAGTTTTTTCCTAATCAAGGGATCCCCAAATTTAAACTATTCACATTTTGTCAATTTAATAGTGATTATAAAATGTTATTATTACCTTTTGAACTATTAACATTTTGTATCTAAAAGCTCATTAGCCTAGTGTGTTATAAATAAGGAAAAATTGTATATAATAACAAACTATTAATTTAAATTAAATACTATAAACATAGTTTGATTTAAGGAAAAATTACAGAAATCCCACATTTTAGTTTACTTATTACCATTATCCCCTATAAGTTTTATAAATCTCCAAAATCCCTCATTTTCGCGCATCAGATTAGTGCATCTCGGGTATCAGATTAGTGCATCTCGCGTATCAGATTAATGTATCTCGCGCATCAGATTAGTGTATCATGTATAAAATGTACATCAGATTAGTGTATCATGTATAAAATGTAATGTATCTTACCTAACGATTAATGTATCTCGCGCATCAGATTAATGTATCAGCGCTATATTATTGTATCCGTTTGATGGATTTCTGTAATTATAAACTTTTGAAGGGATAGATTGTAATTTTGCCTTAGAAGTATGTGATTTCTGTAATTTTAATTGTACCCCATAACAAACTGTTGTTGTTTCGCCTCTCCCTGGTGAATCTCGCTCTTCACTCTCGTTCTCGTTGGGCAGTCTCGCTCGCCTCTCTCACTTTTATACAAACACAAATGTATAAAATGCGTTTGTGTTTGTATAAAGCGAGAGAAAATTGTATATACAAATA